ATTGATTGATTGATTGATTGATTGATTGATTGATTGTAAAATGCATGGTAGTGGAAAAGCTGTCCAGCCCTTACAGCTGAAAGACTTTTGTCACAATGATACCATTGTTCCCTGAGACGCTCATTTTGTTGTCTAAGAAATATAGCCTGAGGCGTCATTAGAATGTTTACAGCACTAAAGACTTAGCCCAGCATAATGTTTTTTTTATTTTCATACGAAGTATTTAAATAGTAAAAACATGCTGTAACCAAGTTTGTCAAGGCAGTTTCCATTCTACTTTAATGTTATTTCCTTTCTGTTATTGCTCTTCTTATTTGATAAATGAAAGTATTCTTTAAGTATGGATCTGTTTTTGTAAATTTCTGTAATCAGATCCAGTGCTATTCAGAAAACATTGGAGACTGCAAGTTAACAGAATCATGAAATGACATTATGCTTCCCCTGTGGCAGATCAAATCAGCTTCTCAATGGGACAGMGCAAGATGTTTTTAATTTTCTGTATTTTTCTCCACAGAAAACTCTTAAACCAGTCTTGGCTGTCAGGAGAATTCACAACTCGGCTGTAGAAGGTATAGGTACTTCTGAATATTTGTTCCACTCCAGGTCAACTCCATTTTGCTCTGTCAGTTTATTTTAGGACCCATACCCACTGAGTTTTATATTTTTTAACTTTATAAATTTAAAGAGCCCATTGATTCTCCAGGTCCATTCAGTAGAATAACAGATTAAATAGAACTCAAGTTTATTTTTAATATTTTAATCTTTTTCCAGCAGTCTTGAGGCACCCGGCCCCTGAAGAAACCGTCACTTCGAGCTTCGGGAAGTTCATCAGTGAGGTGAAGCCCCAGCACTTGTCTCCTGTGGTTCTCCAGCGCAGTAAAAGGATGGTGCTGGACAGCATCGGAGTCGGTTTGATTGGCAGCACTACTGAAGTGTTTGAAATGGCCCTTCAGTACTGCCAGGTGAGACATGGAGAAAAATATATGTTTATAAGCTTTGACTGCTTTAAAAAGTATCCTGAGGACACAGTCACACCTTTAGTGGAAATACTAATATGTACAAAACGAACACAGATGCAGCATATTCTTTTTATAATGCTTATGTTCAATCCAACACAAAGTAAATATTAGTCTGTAGATGAGAAAAGTTACGGGACTAAAAACAGCATGAAAACAACCAAGGGTGGGCCACAAATGAGATCTTATATAATAGAGTTACTACAGAATGGTTGCAGATTGGCTCAAACCCCTTCTTCACTCTGTTTGCTAAATGTGACACTGAGTAATATCTGTGAATACAGAACATAAACAGGACAGGGAGAAGATATACAGGGGTATTAAGGTGTGCATCAGTCTGATGTTGTGTGGGCGGCTGTGGTGGAGTGGTTAGGGGAGTKGTCCTGGAACRGGAAGGTCACRGGTTCYYTCCCCCGTCKAGCTGTRTCAGTRGTTYTGTCRTTGGGCAAGYCACTTCACCCACCRTGCCTACTGATGGRGCRYGTGCATGGCAACCCCACCTCTGTAYMTGTGCCCCAGGGCAGCTGTGGCTACAAWGTGGCTTACATCATCAGTGTGTGTATGAATGAGTGTATGACTGTAAGTGTAAAMTGCTTTGGACTTCCATTTACCATTTTCAAGGTTTGACGTTTCTGTATTTCTAATTTCAGCTGATGTATGGTCCTGATCACATTAGCTCTGTGTATGGACACAGAGGTACCAAGCTCTCACCAACACTGGCAGCTTTTGTCAATGGAGTAGCGGTGAGTAATACAATTTACCCATTATCACAGTTACAGTACAAATACTTTGTATACAATAACCATACTAAAAGTGTGCAAAATGAAAACTAAATATGTATCAGTCACCTAGGTTTGTCTGATTTTAAACATTAGAGTGAAGTCTGTTGTTTTATCCAGACTCACTCCATGGACTTCGATGACACGTGGCACCCAGAAACTCACCCTTCAGGAGCCGTCCTTCCTGCAGTGTTAGCTCTCAGTGACATGATGCCGGCTCACAGCAAACCGAGCGGTCTGGACTTTTTGCTGGCCTTTAATGTTGGAATCGAGATCCAGGGTCGTCTGATGAGGTTCTCTAATGAAGCACAAAACATCCCCAAGAGGTCAGTGCCTCGAAGCATTAGAGCATTATATTTCAGTTTAGACGTAGTTTACTGGATTACTCATGTTTGCAGAAAATCTTGAAGTGTCCCTGTGTTTGTTTGTTCAGGTTCCACCCTCCCACAGTGGTGGGCCCCATGGGAAGCGCAGCAGCCTGTGCTCGCCTCTTGTCCTTGGATCCCTCTCAGTGCAGTCATGCCTTGGCTATCGCTGCTTCTRTGGCTGGAGCTCCCATGGCCAACGCTGCCACTCAGTCCAAACCCCTTCATATTGGCAACGCCTCCCGTTTGGGGCTTGAAGCTGCTCTGCTGGCCTCTCGAGGCCTGGAGGCCAGTCCTCTGGTCCTGGATGCTGTAGCAGGAGTGGCGGGCTTTAATGCCTTTTATGAAGATTATGCCCCACAAGCTTTAAAATCCCCCAGTGATGATGGCCACATGTTCCTCCTAGAGGAGCAGGATATGGGCTTTAAGCGTTTTCCTGCTCATCTGGGGATGCACTGGGTGGCAGATGCTGCAGCCTCGGTCCATAAGCTCCTTGTGGGCGTGGATCCAGGACAGGTGTCCCCACATCAGGTGCAGGACATCCTGCTCAGAGTCCCTCTGTCTAAATACATCAACAGGCCTTTCCCAGAGTCAGAGCACGAGGCACGCCACTCCTTCCAGTTTAACGCCTGCAGCGCTCTCCTGGATGGCGAGGTGACCGTTCAGTCCTTCAGCCCGGCTGCCATGAACCGGCCCGAGCTGCACGCCCTTCTGAGCCGCGTCCGCCTGGAGCATCCTCAGGACAACCCCGCTAATTTCAACCGGATGTACGGCGAAGTCCAGGTGGCTCTAGTTGGAGGAGACATTCTAAAAGGGCGCTGTGACACCTTCTATGGTCACTGGCGCAACCCGCTGACCAACGAGAGCCTGAGGAAGAAGTTCAGAAACAACGCAGGCATGGTGCTTCCATCAGAGAGGGTTGAGGGTCTGATTGAGGCGGTGGAGGAGCTGGACAGACTGAAGGACTGCAGAGCTCTTCTCTCACAGCTGCAATGAAGAAATGCACAAACTTATTAGCTGCAAATTAAAATAATCATTGTACATAAAAGGTAAATTTCTGTTTAGATTGCTGACATAATTACCAGTCTATCACATTCAGGGCATTTACTTAACAAACATTGCAAATGGAAAGTTTTCTGTATTTTTTCCACATTGTCATGTTTAATTTAGTCCTTTTCATCATTAGTTTACACAGTCAAACAAGTAAACTGTAAAAACACAAACATGAACTGATGGCTGTTCTAAGTGATGAATTTGTGGAGGGTTAATGGGAGTTAAAGCAGTGAAAACATGCTGTATTAACATGTGAAAAATAAACTGATGTTGGTTTTGTAAAATCTGGACAGAAATGGTGCTGCATAAACCATCTATTTATTATCATTTACCTGTTTCTTTAGACTAACATTTTGTTGTATAAACTGTGTGTTTCAGTTATTTTAAAGGAACTTGTTCTCATGTATATTTAACAAATATGTCAATAAATTAAGTTTCCTATCTGAAGTTGTTGTAAGGAGTCTTTACTGATTTATTGTTGTTCTTTTTATATTTATAATCGATCATTCTTTCCCTAAATACTAGTAGCAGGCACATCACTACAAGCAGCGCAATTCCAATAAATAAATAACTAAATAAATAAATTAATTAATTAATTAATTAATTAATTAATTGAAGTCTTTTGGTTTTGGTATCACCCCAGGATTTTTCGTGGCCCCCTCACTGGTTAAAACATTACCAGATGTGCCACTGCAGGTTAGATCCTTTTATAACACTTCTTTGTAGCTCAGTTTAGCTCAAAATAGCCATTTGGGTCCTACTTGGAAGAAAAATTGGAGAAATTCTTCCAGAGTTTTATAATGTATATTTTTAATAGTTGGTTTGATGGATCTCATCYGTTCTGAACAAAATTGTATTTTAAGTGGTGGAGTTTTGATATCTGAGCATACAATTAGATTTACAAAACTCATCATTCTATATTTG